TTTTTTCGAAGTTGTAAATAAAACAAAAAATGGAATACGTTTTACAATAATTACATACTATTTCAGTCTTTCCACTTAAAAAAATGGTTTAATTCAATATGTTACTCGCAGTTTCTTTGTAATTCTTTGTGAAATTTACTAGCAAGTGAAAAACTCTCAGTCAGAGTGAAACCTGTTTCAAAGTAAGTCCTGCACAATTTTTCTAGTGTAGTAAATTGCCAATATAAAGTTTGACCAGTATTTCAATAAAAAGATCAAAAAAATATACAGATTTCATGTGCAAACAACTACTATCAACTAGTGGTTAAAATATTCTCAAAATAGATGCAGCAAAACATATTTACTTGCCTGCAAAGCAAAGGAATCTGTCCGAACGGCTTTCTTCAAAAGTATAAACCCATCTGTTGTGATATTAACATAGCTGCTATATTGCACTTCATATCTTACGTCAGGATTGATTCCCTGAAAAATAAAGGGAGAAACTGGCATTCTCTTATTAAATATATTCAGTCTTTATGGGTGACCATAATGTTGCCAAGTAGGATATTTATCCTTGATCAAAACATTTCTCTCAAACAAATATTACCCCCAAATCTAACCATTAATTAGCTTTAAAATCTGTGGGGAGTGATAAGTTGGTATGAACGTTGCTTAAGCCCCAACCCCAGTCCTAACATCAACCCTAAACCTAAAAACTGATGTTAATCCAAAACCATCAAGGATGTAGCTCTAAGGTCACATGGGTAAATCACAGTACAATGTCTGCATAAAAGTAAAAAGTAAGTAAAACTTACACTCGCGAAATCTTCATCCCTTGCTCTGACTCTGATGGGTCTGTTGGATGTCCTGTCCCTTAGCACCATGTTTTCAGGCCCTGAATTACTATAAACATACCCTTCATATCGGTCCTTCTCAAACCTTGGAGCATTTCGGCTCTTTTTCATTACATCAATAGTGACTGAAGTGGTGGCAAACTGATCTCTATTTACTACCTGGGAAGCCTGGGAAGGACAGATAAAGGAAGGTTGCTATTATCAAAATTAAGCAGTCAAAATTATATTTGCTCTCAGACCCAACCAGATATCACGAGGAAGCATATGTAGACTAAACTTCTCAAAGTCTTCAGAATATGCACAAGAAACTCACCAAAACTAAGAGAGATATAGGGCCAGCTATATCGGCTGGTTTCAGCATGGATATGTTTCCAGATTTCTCATCAATCTGAAATATGTTGTCGTCATTTCCTAGGCAATTACAGAAATTATTGTGCAGTTCATGTTGAACATTGAGTGTGTAGATAACTCTGAAGTAATGAATTTAGGTAAATGGGTGCAGAGCCAGTGGTGGTTTTGTAGGCAAACATTAATGCCTTGAATTTAAACATTTAAACATGCATGTTTTATTATTGTAAAAGTCACTACTAGATAGATAGATAGATAGATAGATAGATAGATAGATAGATAGATAGGAACGCACTGAATGGACCGAGAGTGCTACGCAATAGCCGGAACAACTCTTCCGCTATTTGAGTAATTGTCTTCACTTGCACATTCAGCGCTCTCAGTTGATTCCCTTTGAGAATAGCAGGCTGCGCCGTAACGTGATTGACAGCGCAGTCATCCAATCGGAGGCTGAAACCTATCTCCGTTACTCTAGAAACCACCACCAGAAAATGTATGGCTAGTATTAAGAATTTGTTGTTATTTTTTTATTATTTAAGAGTGTTTTGTTGTTGTTCACGGTTTCATATTTTTAATTTATTTATTTAAATTGAACACAGTCGATGTAGGTGACACCGTATTGCTCTAATGCTGTTCGAACAAAAGAACTGAACTTTGAGAGCTGCCTATCACTTAATATAACAGGAGTATCACCTTTAGACATGCACTGCACGTTACACAGCCATCTGTCGTAATAAAGAATCAAATAAAAGGTTTTAACAGGACCTTTTTCATTTTCATAGTGCCTAGAAACAGCCGCTGAAACACTTACAATACTGTGTAGTATAAACTTGTGAAATGTAAGCATAAGTGAACTTTTACCTCACTCAAATCTTTTACTTTCACTCAAATGATATTTGATATTTATAAGACTTTTTGAACAACTACTGTACTTTCGGCAGTTAAAACAAGGTTGTTAACAGATAAGTTCATCATAAGGTATTTTGATTTTAAAATCCTTATGATTAACTTATCTGTTTGCATCCAGGCTCGAAATGTAAGATCCGGCCCCGGATCCTGTCAGAATATCTGTTTTTTTCTGGTGACAGAACAACTAGTCAGCAAAGCTGTCTAATATCCAAAACCCGTTAACAGTATTAACAGTCTTCTATCAGCCAATAAGTTGACTGAGCAAAGCCAAAGAAGGGCAGAAGCATGACACGAAGTGATTATGATAAAAAAAGGAGCAGTTTATTGAATAATCTTAGTTGTGTTCAATACTCAGACTTCGTCTGACCAGCACAAATCCATCATGTGTTATTATACCACAAGCAATGGAAAATTACTGCTTCACAAAATGGCCCGTGACGTTAAAAACCTTGAAATGGAGACAATCTTTTTACTTGTGAAGACAAATATCTCATAAAACCACACAACCATACGACTAAACAACAATGGAAAAAATAATAATATAATATAAAGGACGGATCAATAAATGAATCAATAAAATGGGTGTATATATATGGTTAAAATTATTATTAGAAATAATTATGATTAAATTGAATAATACATTATTAAATGATAAATGGTTATCAGTGAAGGATGAATAAAAGAGTAAAAAAAAGAAAGTAAAACAACACAAATGTATGCTTGCTCTCTCAAAGCAACACACACAGGTTGCTACTAAGAACCCTTAGATCTTTCATTGCCC